ATTGGTCTTTACATAATCTTGAGAGGGGAAAGCAAAAAAAAAGAAATAGCTCGATGTGGCTGTATTCTTGGGATTGTTTTATGCAAAAACAACAATCTTTATCCCAAAAGGGAGACCGTGTTCATTACGGCGATTTTAAAAAACATTTAACTTCTTCTATAGTTGGAAGGTCGACCTCTTCCGTCCCAAATCGAAAGAGAAATAGACAGCCTATTCTTACAAGCGTTGGCATCTCGTTGCCATAATAACTTGCAGGTGTTACAAACCAGGACACTACTGTAGTATCTACGCTACTACTCAGTGCTTAAATACAATATCTAGAGTTGAACCTAATGTTGCTATAAGATCTGTTACACTTTAATCAAATATAGTCAACTTAGTTTAAATACCTCAGCTTCTTAATATATAATTATAGATTATGCTATCATTTCTTTTCTCTTCACTTTATTCTGAATAAAGATACAACACAGTCTCATCGTATTTTCTACTTTGTTAAAATCTATCCAAAACCCAAATACAACAACCACAACCTTTCAATTCAGACATTCTTGCAGAAGGATCGCTACTACAAGCATTGCAAACTTTGGAAATCTTGTATTCATCAATTGTAGCGGCGATGAGATCTCCAACTGCCTCTCTTCTTTTTAACGCTCTCCAAAAGACACCAGCAACACCGCGCCTGTTTCCCTTCAACTTCATTGTCTTTTCCAAACATCCCTCCGCTAAAGACTACAAGAGGCACTTTCTCTTTTTCCATTTGGGACTTTGCGGGCTTCCACTTTTGGCTTCTTTAAAACAACAATTAAACAGGACTTGATTGTCAAAGCTAAAATTGATTACATTCCTGTTTTTGGCAATTTGACTGGTGGACCCCTGCCGGTGCAGCAAGATCTATGTGACCCCCATTTGTGCTGCCAATTCACCTCTTCTGGAACGAGACTTGAAACGTAGCACTCTAAGCAAGGAAATCCGCCATGCCCATGGCGACATACAAGGTAAAAAACAGCTCGATTACCTACAACATTGTAACTCATAGTGAAATTTTTATTTTTTAGATCTAATCTCGTATGCAAAGACAGCTGTGCATCCTATAAGGCTGGTCGTGATTGACTATGCTGGACTTACAACGTCACCCCAAGATTTACTTCTACATATACGCCTCTCCACAAGTAATTCTCAGTGGTATACTATATCAAAAACGCCACTGTGGAAACTTTGTGCGCAATATACTGATATCCTAGACAAACGGTTGTTAAAGAAAATACGTTTGTAATTCCTGCAAGACAACTTAGAACAGCGGCGTACTGCACGCAGCTCAAATCTGTTCTCACTGTGTCGCCCAACAATCTCTTTAGATCCAATCCTTTGGTTACCCATGACAAGACTAGAAAAAAGCCGATGCATACGGTGGCGTCCTGGTTAGTTATCCAGTTATAACACTGCTCGCTACCTTCGACACACCTCACAGCTCCTTACAAAACAACATGCCATCTATTGCCTCGACATGCATCACCGTTTATAAATACCGAAGTCTATAACTGATCCTCTATCCCTCCTTTTAAATAAGCTTCCCACTCGAAAACCACGCTCCTTTCAAATAAGGTCGTTTTGGACTATCAGATGGCCCGTAATCTGCGCTATCTTACATGAGCTTGATCACATATACCATGGAAAAGAGCCACCATCACCATCTGACCCAGGGCAGAAACTGCTTAAACGGTTATTTAATTCTTCATAGCAGTGTTTTTAACACTTGTTCCGCGAATCTGTCAGCCAAAGCATTTTTGCCCTCGAGCCCATAGGGATTTTTAGATACTGCCTCACAACTTGAACTGGCCAGGGCAAAAACGATATAATAAAAATATCGCGTGCCCCTTGTGGCCTTTATATTTTATAAATAAACAAATAAAATTGTTTAACCGTATTGTTGGTTTGAAAATGCAAAAAATTAGAAAGCGTAGCACGAGTAGATTTTGGTGCTTCCAAATGACAATAGCAAAAGACCACTTAATAAGAACATAAGCTTCTTCCTTCTTTTTCTCTCTACCAGTTTTCAC